TCGAAGTTCCTGATTTGGTTGCAAAACTTTCTGAGTCTTTCTTTTTTTTTTTAATAAAATTCAGCTTTTTTAGAATAGCTTATAAGTATCTATTGAATAGGTTGTACTGGTCAGACCGGAACGCTATACTTCCAAATCATATTAACATTCAGAACGTTTTAAATTGAACAGTGGGATATATTACATATAACAGATAAGTAGTGTGCAGATATAAGAATGTATTATGCCAGTTCTGAAACTCTATATGAAATAAAAATATATTGTCGATAAAATGTGTTTTCTTAAAAGATTCTCAAGCATCAACAACAGCTAAAATATATGATACTCGTTTTTTATTATTGGTTTTCTTTATATCATTTCCTATTCAAACAAAGAAGTTAATAAAATAAATTTGTCTGGAGTGTGCTTTCATATAGCAGTGAAACATGGACAATTGACAAGAAAGACAGAAGCAAACTAGAAGCATTAGAGTTATGAATATGGGAAAAAATGACAAAAACAAAATGGATAGACAAGAAAAGAAATGAGCAAGTGTTAGAAGAAATACTAAAAGAAAGACAGCTGATGAAGGTTATTGAATCAAGAAAAAAAGGTTAATCGGAGACATCATCCGACACAATGACTTTACAATCAACATCTTCGAAGGAAATATAACTAGGAAGAAACCAAGAGGACACCCAAGGAAACAATATTTTGAAAATATCGTGGAACTCATGAACTGTGCATCTTTTGTTTCATTGAAGAATTTGGCATAAAACTGAGACGAGTGGATTCAACGACGAGGTGTTGCCTTTAATAGATTATGATGACTAAAATAAAGTTATTATTATTATTTCAAAATGAATTGTTAATTATTTTTATTTGTAGAAACTTTGTACTTATTCCACTTTTTATGGATTTTAATTTCATCAAAATAGTGATGTTTTATATTAGATCGATAGATATTTTTAAAATGGTATTAATAGAACTTTAGTAAAAATTTTGCTTAACGCAAAAAAACTTAGTTCGAAAACAACATTAACAAAAACCGTTTATTGGTTTTGCTATAAGCCAGAATAATATTTAATAAAAAATTCCAAATCAAATCAGAGTTATTGAAATGTACAAAATATGTATAAGTTTGAAAATGAATTACAGGCTAGAAATTAAAAATACACAAAGTAGTTTTAGATTCAGCTATTTAAAATGAGTCGATCGATCATTTATCACAGTTACATGCTGATTTATTGCTTTTGACTTTTAGTACACTTATTAACATCCGCGGGAGGGATATTTAATATTGTAGTTTGCACATTAAAACCAATACTAATAGAATAATATATTGTTCAAATTCGACTTGACTGTAAACGTGTTGAGGGACGCCCCTTTCGCATGAATCAGTGCGATGTCGGTTTCTATATACTGAGACGATTATACTCGTGTTCTCACTCAGTCAGTATATATTGAGACATTACTGAATCCCTTGCTTTTGCGGCAAGTATGGGGAGGCGAAAATCGTTATTGAAACAAAGCTAATACACACCGCAGGGAGTACGGCCGGGATAACGATATTATAGTCTGTGAATATTTTAATAAAATCAACAACTGCGTCGTATTCAAAAACGCTTCGTGTCTAACTCGCTCGTCGCCAAGTGAAAAACAGCTTCGTCTAAGGGGCGTATCGACGCTGTTGATCCCTGCGGACGATGTAATGAAAACAAATCACACGGCTTTAAACCCTTCTCGTACATTATCCCCAACGTGTTATTCTGCCCCGGATTCATTTAACTTGGGCACTTTATCAGCTAAATCATGTAACAATATTTCTATGATATGTGAAAAGTGCCGAAAAATTCACGATGATAGAAAGTTATGTTGGATCATATAGCTAATTGTTAAATGTATTTTTGAAAAAATCTACATGATAATGATGTAAAATAAATGTATCTCGTGTCGTTTTAATTCTCGACGAGTATTTTAAGCGTTACTTTTATGACGTTCGGTAACTCAATTCTTTTGTTCGGGTTGTTTTTATTTCAACGGATTTTACTCGGATTAAAGTGTAAGATGTGTTCTAACTGGGTTTAAGAAGCGATCCACTTGGACAAACATTAGCCTGTGTCAAGTCGTAGTGGCGATAGTCTACGGGCAAAACGACCGGGCAGCTTATATCATCGTTTACGGAAAAAGAAATCGTTTCATTATGTTTTTCACACGAACAGAGCGCAGTAGAAATGACGACTGCGGAAGGTAAACAACCCGAAAGCGGAACGGAAGGAGCCATTTAAATCGGCATTAAACGTCGTTGTACGCGTTTGAGCGCACAAAGAAAAATAATAGGATCCAATCGTTTTAGATGCATTATTTTTTAATTTTCTTTTTTTCATAATAGATATTAATGTAAAAATGTTTTTCTTCGTTACTTCGTCCCTATTTTCCCTCTTTACCGCACTGTACCCGAGAAACAAACGATGACAGCCAGCGCGTCATCAGAGATCGCTTTTTGATTGATGCAACGGTAACCACCTCTGCGCCACAACGACAGCTCCTCTCGGGTCGGTGCAGTTAATTGTAGTCGTACGGTCGTATTCGAGTCCGGGTGGCCGTCCGATCTAATACTATCATTATTTTATTACAGCCGCCCTATTCATTAGTATATTATGTTGTATGGCACCGTTCCGGGCTTTTATATTATCGCAACGACCACTGCAGTTATGGGCTGGTGTATATGTTACCTTCATTCATGTGCCGTTCGTATACAATGCTGATATTGTATTGAATAATATAATAATATTGTTTGTTGTATGAAAGCCGTGGTCGGCGAGGAACGTGCCCGTTTGTTTTTACAAAAACGCTTTTACGGACAAAAGTCACCCCGATATCCACCGCAAAACGTCCGTGGATTATACTTCTATGGTTCACAATTAGGCTCGTGCGATTTCCGCTTGTCCGAGATTTATGACTTCCCTGACCACCTCCTGGTCGTACGAGCAGTTGATTCCACCCACGCTGGATTCGCGCATTGCACAATATAATTTATATACGAAACGCGAACAATATTGTGTGTGGTCATTTAATTGGGCCTGCTCACAAGTTGCAAATGTTTATGGGGGTGGTCCGTACGTATACAGGTGCTAATCGTAGTGGTTTGTCAACGCCAACCGTTTTCCTTGACTATAGTCAAAGACCAGTAAACTTTATGTCGTAAATCAGTCTTTACAAATCACGAGCGTTTTTATAACATAATGTGTCTCTTGAAAATACTGAAATTGCGCCCTCTCTATCATAAATTTCTTTTGATTAATTCCAACGCGCTTGCTTTTTTACAATAATATCGATTTTTACTGTTAATGGTAAATTTCAAAACGCAAAACACATATTTATTTTACAATCGAGTATTCAAAATATAAAACCACATATTTTATTTTATGGGAAATACTAAAATTTGCTTATAATGTCAACGAAATTCACGAGGGAGTGGTTTTATCAGAAATTTAGTATGCAACATAAAAACTCGCTTTTTGTGCCACCTTTAAATATTACTATTATAAATGATAGTGAATAAAAATAAAAGTATTTTTTATTTTTAATACGGTATAACTATATAAACGATTTGCTCAACTATTGTTACGTTTTGGATCAGCACATATGACAACTTCGATATCATGTTACTCTTTTAATTATAATTGTATTTATTTCTTATTTTTTATTTCGTGAATTCTATTGCTTTAAATATAACAATGTGTACTATTATGGGCACATAAATTAAATATGTCAATAATTATTTTACTATAATAGAATTTTCTATGATAGAAAACTAAAAATAGATTTACCTAAAAGTACAAAATATTTTCTTTATAGCATCCTTAAAAGTAATGTGTGGCAAAAAATGAACAATGTCCATTTGATTGTTTTAACTGCATTAACAGCAGCCTTATAAACGCGGTTTACATGTCTTCTGGGTGGTAAGCAGAAATCACTTAAACCTCATCCCTTTACTGCACGGCTCGTTAAATTCGCGACAATGATGGAACCTGATATACCTGTGACGATTATAATAATATAATATTTTATACTGTTGTACCTATACATGTATAATAATATAATATTGGGCCACCTCTATATAATTGGCTGCAGTGGTGGAGGTCGTTATAACTCGGCACAGCGTGCGATATGTGTAATGCAGCATTTTCCAAATGGTATATTGTACTTATGAATGGGCTCTGTTTACGGGCGAGCTGGCGGGTGTCCTTTAGTTTGTATAAGTCTGTTTTGGCACTACGATTCGTCCACACGATAGTGTAGCAATATAATGGCAATAATAAAATGAAAAACGGTATAATTGTCCCAATGAATTGGAACGTTTCTTCGCCCGCCGATTTCGTTGTTATTTGACCGAGTATGTGTGTGTGTGTGTGTGTTTACCCAAACGGCTCGGGGGTGTGGAAATTAACCCCTTTGACGAAAAGACGGACATAATACGGGCGGCGGCGACCGAGTATTTTCAGTACATATATTATGCGCCCACTAACGTGCACACCCTCATTATTATACATATAGAGGCATTTTTCGAGATCCGGACACTTTGTTGCCAGGTGTGAAATGTGACACAAAAATAATCATCCGCGGTTAGCAAGAGAGATGATTGAATATCGAAAAATTCAATGCGTACCAACATACCCCGTCCATATAATATGAACCTATAATTTATTGTGTATCTGATATGCGAAGAGAAGATTATGCGGTATGAATACGATTTATGACGGTCGATTTAACATTTGCAACGTGTATTCTTTTATTATTACAGTCCTTTTATTTAAGTGTTAATAACAGTGTTGAAGAACGTTCATAGACCTCTATAATTAGTAATAACTTTTTGACAAAACACTGATATCACTAACTATAATGCGCTGTGAACATTTTAGTTTTTAAACAACTCAGATTTATTTTATAAAGTCTTGTTGTACAGCAAATAAATCAAATTAATTGCTAAACATACATTTTTAAATTGTTTTCTATAGGTCATGCATCAAATTGCAGCAATAAAAGAGTTCACAAATAATTGAGTTTGGACGCTGGAGACTTGATGACATATCACTTCAAATGGAAGTAATACGGTCGTAGCAATGAGAATAATAGTAATAATAATAAGAGAAAAAATATAAACATAATTTAGGGCAAAAGTGGGGTAAAGTAGTGACATTGTTTCCGCAATACTGGAAAAAACTGGACAAAAAAAAAATCATCAACAAAAGGACAATTGGAGCATGTGACGAGAAAAAAAAGCTAGTGTAACGTCGTTCATTGTACACTACCATTGCAGATTTACGGCAAAGGGATGTACGCTGTTTTTTTTTTATAAAAAAAACTCCAAAAAGGGATGACTATAAATGAAATTGAGTTGCATGTTTTTATTTTTTACTCCCCCTCGACAGACCAATATGGTGTTTTAGGGTTAAACTAGATGAATTTTTTTATGGTAAACCTAGTAGGCGTTTTGCTATAGGGTAAACAAATCGTAAAATATAACGGAAAATATAACTGTTGCCCTACATATTTACACCATTTGTATCGAATTGTTGATTGTTTAATTTTTGTAGTGATTCCAAATATTTAATGCTCTGTAAACATATTTGGGGCATCATTAATCATAATTGAACAACGATTATAAAAAACTCATAAATATTTATTTTATAATTTATTTTAAATTCATTAAATAGTATGTTATTTAACAATGTTTTTAAATATTATTTTAGTCGGATAACGGCATTTATTTAATTGTTACATACGTGCAGCTTAAAAATGAGACATGATACTTTTATGAAAATATTATAAAACTAATTTTATTTTATTTACTATCTCGTTTAAAATTGTAGCACTTAAAAGTAGTAATAAAAATTTAATCTAATAATTTACAGATAAAGTTGACCTGTTTTTAAATAATGTAATGGAATTTGTTTGCAGTAATGATTAAAAATGTTAGCAAATTTGATTTTAATATTTTTAGATAAGAGCTTGTTAATGTTATTTATATATCCTCTTATTAAAATTGTCAAAAGGGTGGTAGTTATTTTACAAATTTCTAACTTTTTTAAGGTTTGACACTTATTTTCGAAGTAATTATTATATTATATAATATTATTATTTAATATAATTTACACGTGGAGATTTTAGCTAAATAATTATTTTACTTCTTGAATTTTTTAAAATTAATAATATAAAACAACCTGACAATGTAAGTATAAAATAGAACATTCTATAAAAAATATTTTTTCCTTTTTGTTTAGATACGAGTGTTCAGTAAGTATAAAACTTATATTTTGTATATACAGAATGATTCATAAATATAAACCTAGTTAATTTATATATAAGGTGATTGATTAACTATGATTCATGCATATTCATAGTTAATTAATCACTTTGTACAAAATGTACTATGAGCTAAAACTTTTTGTTTCAAACTGTTATTAATGCTATAAATGCTACCGGTTCTTAACAATGCAATGAACGGCTATAAGAGCGTATGTAAGTTACCGATTTATAGCGTTTACGACTTGTATAACTGAATGCTTTTTTTTCATCTCCCTTAACCTTAAAAATTTTAGAACTCTCTGAAAATCGAATGCAATGAGCAAAAAAATGTTTCAATCAAATCTGATGGAATAAAAGATAATGTTACCATTTGAAAAATAAAAGTTTATGATAGTTCAATGCATAAGGGATGATAGCAGAAATTAAATTTTTTTCATAGAATAGCTCGATAAAGAATTTATATTATTGTAAAAGAAAAGTTATTAGGTCATATAATTTCAAAAATATTTTACGATTCGCATTTAAGAAGGAATCATTCTATATGAAGAGTATTTATATTTATAAATGATGATCCATTCAATTTTTACAAAAGTAGATTATAAAAGTACGCAACTAAAAATATCTCAATCCATTATATACGATTATACATAAAAAATTAAATAATCTGAGTAGTATCTTAGAACTACTATAGATATATATGTTTGAAAATTAAAGACAAACTGAAATTAAAACTCAGTTGTGATACACTTAACTAATTAAATCTACCAAATTAAACTATATAATATGTGTCATGAATTTCCTAACTTCACAAAGGACCAATGGTCACAAGTTATAACTTTTGTTATGATCATCATGTATATAAGTCAAATATCAATTGATGATGGGGTTGGATCGGAAATAAGACCAATATCGGATTATGTGAACCGGACGTGTGATACAACGATTTTCTAGTAAGCTTTGAATAATATATTTAATACTTAATGTTGGGAAAGATTCAAATTCATCTGTTTGTCGAAGCAAACAGATCCCACCGACCGATATGCAAAAGTAAACAGCCCGTGACAAGGAAGCTCTAAATAAAACCGAAACATTACCCTAGTTAAGTCGCATTGTAACTACATATCAGTTAATATAATTTGTAACACTTCAAAACTACAACACTTAATACTACTTTAAGGGTGATGAAATAATACTCAAATATTTAAATTAGGTGGTCTAGACTGTATATTTTATTGCCAAGGGGCAACTTAATTTTTCCACTTTTAGTATTTCATTATTTGGAAATAGATGAGCAAAAAAAAAAAATGTTTCATCAGGCTATATTTGTCTATATGTAATTGTAGAATTCTCTAAAAAATTTAACAGGCTAATACCTTACCAAACATTCTACTCAAATACGATTCAATTAGTGGCTTATACAGAAATATTAAGTAATTTATTTTTTAATTCTTATTACCTAAATGTTTTAATTATAAAGCAAATCAAATAATTATAAATACATATAAGTTTTCACTTAGGCGGACTGACCATGGAGCGAGGGGGTAATTATCCCCTGAGCGGCCGTCTATAAAGCGATGAAGGTCATTATAAATAGCATAGTTAGATCGGCTGTATCTAATAAAGAATTATGTTCAATTTTTAATAATTTGTGATGATAATCATAAGTTTGTGTAAATTCCAGGTCAATTGATGTATCACTCATGTTAAAAACCATTGATCGTTGTATAAGTTGGATTTTAATTATAATAGTTAATTATGGTGTTTAAAAAAATGTTTTGGTTCGAACAGGACCACTACATTTTTTGTGTCCCCAGTCTGAGTTATCATGTTTCCCTAGATTAAAATATTGTGTGTTATTGTTAGTTTTACTTCAATGTAACGATTTTGTTGTGAAGTACAAATACTTTTCAACCAAAAATTTCTATAAAAGCAAATAACGTTATGAAAATAAGTCTGTTTCTAACGAACTTCAACACGAGTATAAATTAATCAAATAAAAGACAACTTAATATTCGACAAGAGCCATTATGATAAAAGAACTTATGGAAAGATAATATAATATTTTCTAGGCAGGAAATATGTTCCGGAAACAAAAGACCTGAGGGGGGGAAGAACAACTTGTGATATATTTATTGGTGAGGATTCGTTGAATAATCGACGATTTCCTGAGACTTGGTTAAAGGGTTTTGGCCCTTACTACGTACGGACGGTCGGTGAGGAACCCTTCCTGGTGCGGCATTGGTTATGGCAGTATGAAATGTATATATTAATTTTATTGGCGGCCGAGCGTGAAGCAGACAACATTATCGTGTTCGCGAGTGATTTAGGGGTAACTATAGAAGATAATATAGTTAACGATTAGGCAATATGCTTTCACGACCACCAATTCGTTATCACCACGTACTCTGATTCCAAAACCATAGAGGGGAAAACGTATGAAACTGATCGTCTTGCTAGAAACGTTAACGATTAAAATTATCACGTGTAATGCTTATGTGACCCTTTAAGTTTTACAAGTCCCAGTGAACTAAAATTTTAGTATCCATTTGCATACTTTAGTGATTTAACGACTTTCTTAGTTTCAAAATTATGTCTATTGAATAAGTGACATTTTTAAGAGACAAGCCTTTAGAATTGATTTTTTTATGGTTTTTATTTTTTGATATTTGCCACTCGAACGCTTGTTAGAAAAACTATTCAACGAAGGCCAAACTACACAAATTGTTTAATTGTGTCCGTCGAAAAGGTAGCGATGGCGTAGTAGTTGCTTGGCGGTACTAGGGAATTCTTATGCATTATACAATATATATATATATATATAAAACGGTCGATTCATTGATAACTAACAAGCCATGTGTACGCGCCTCCGCTATAGAATGGGGTAGTTTCTTACAACCGCCACAGGGTTCCCTCTAGAAAAAATTATCAACGTCAATGGGCCCTCTCTCTTTCGTCGTGTAGTCACCTTTTGAATGGCCGCCGCAACCGGTTCGGGTCACTATATAGTATGAATACTATGTAAGCAGCAGTAGACTGCTTGGCGACCAGAGCGACCATGTGGGTGGCCACGGACAAAACGCCGGAAGCTATTAAAATACTATTGTGACACAGTCCGAAACCCCCATGCCATGGAATTCCATTCAAAAAACCGTCGTCGAGATGGTATGGAGTTGGTACATGTATGTGTGAAGTGCATACAAGGAGGTACACGCGATTTATTAGATTGACCGGTGCATTTGTGATGTACGAGGGATACATCACAGGACACTCTCATCTCGAAATGTTGTCCGTGAAGTAGTTAAGGTTTTATTATAACTCAAGTACGTGTACGAGAAAACCGTGTCGGATGCATTTGAAAAACGCTTTAAAGGGGTTAGTACATTGCTTCATGAAGTGCTAATAGGTACCAAAGAGGTCCCTAAAGTGCCTGGTAGACATAGCGACCGTCGAGTGGTTTGTACACTTCTCGGCTAGATCAAACCTACTATTTTTGTATGAGTTACAAATATTTCTCTTTTGATCAAAGATTGCGGTACTTTGAATTTCATAAAAAAAAAAAAAACAATATTGTTATTTTAAAAAATTCTTCCATCATTCCAGTATTGACAACAATACACATCTATTGACACCCAATCTATTACCGTTTACATAAAACCTTCAGTTCGTTATCGGTATAAATTAAATCGTACGATGCCTAAATTACAACTTAAGTTGAACAACAATACACGTATAAGAGTCGTATGTATACTAAATTGAATTCAAAACTTTACTTAAAATTTGATGTATGTAAAATCTAAAAATAATTTAGTTTTAAGAAAAATCATTTATTCGTGGTTTCAAAAACACTTTTCCTGATAATCATTTAAATCTGTTAAAACATTGTTATTTCGTTTTTTTTTTCATGAAGTGAATAAATTGAGTTTGGCTTTTTGTAGCATATCATGTTGCGAGGGCTAAAATTATACATGTTTATCGTTTTGTGATGATAAATCGTTATTACTTTTTTCCTCCCTCTGCTGGTATCGCTAATAATAATAAACGGCGTGTAACTGTTTGCGAGGGTCAACGGTGATGTTCACGCACACGGTTTCTGTCCCATTAGATAATAAAAACCGATATTTCTACCGGCAATGCTCTTCTCTAATGTCTAAAGTTGCCAAAAAAAAAAAAATAATCCAATTTACTTTGAACAAAATTACCCTAATATAGAACAACTAGTAATTTTCTGAACTCGAGGTCTTTGTAAGTTTTTTAATATTTATAAATTTAACGGAAACAATATCATATGCGCAAATAGACCTTAGTATTTTTGATTGCTGTATTAAAATACATTCATGACATTTACCACAACACTAAACATTTAAGTTTAAAAAACATAAAACGCAACAGTGAAAATAAGCTATTAATTCACTTCGTGCACAAATAATAATACTAACGATTTATTGTGAAACCCTAATGTTCATTAAATGATCACTAAGCGTGACTAAGCGGCGTTATTTCTGTAAAAAACACCATGAATCGTGGCAAAATTAATACTTGTGATTAATTATGTTCCATTTACTCCGTCTTCTGTTTTATAACTACCTTTTGTTATAATTTTCTATTCAAAGTAAATGATACTAAATATCAGTCTTCGAGAAAAAATACAGTTTATTTTACTCGTTAAATGAATTATAAATAATTTTGACAAGAGCTGGAAAATTATTTAAAATTCTAAATAAAAAAATAAAATCAAAGTTTTTTTTAACTAAGACATTCAATTCTGACATTTTAATAACGAGTTTAATAATTTAATTGAACGAATATCAATTCGAATTATTTATGTATATCAGTAGTCTTTGAATGCGTATACTGCAAAAGTCTTAAATATTTTATGGTTTTATTTGACAGTTGATGTTGACTACAGTAATAAATAATCAACAGAATATAACGAAATTTTTATTTTTACTGTCGCAATCACTACTATAAACTAAGATAACTGTGGGTGGAGGCTATTACGTTCCTAATGATTGTTTGTGCTAAATATGATCTAATTACGATTGATTATTAGCGTACTCCTGTGATTATTAACTCAGAAGACTCGGTTGAAAAAGCAAGTACATCGTTTTCGCGAGTACTATTTCGAAGAGAGGGACGGGGGCGGACCGTCAGGCCCCTCCTGTGCACACACAATATAATACAATATTTTGAACGCAAAACGCCGCGGTGTGCGCTCGAGCATAAACGATTGACCGTATGCTCTGGACGGGTGGTCGGCAGAGGGGAGGCAAAGGGGTTATCGGGCTGTTTCCTCTCCACTAACCCGGCACACTGGCGCGCACTTTGGCCGCAAGCGCGACGGACACAACTATTGTCGTTACCGCCGCCAGGACCCGTCGGCCGATTATGAGTGATGATGTGGTTTACGGTGATAGCAAAGGCCGTTTTATCGGAAACCTTTTTATTACCGCAAATGATCATTTTTATGTTGACTGATAACGCCGTCCATGCGATAGCATGTCATCTCAATGACTTACATGTGTAAAATACTCTGCTTTCTGCATACTGAAAAAAATCATGAACCTTATGATGCGATATTGTTATTGTATGAAACTTGCCGATATGCGTCTTGGAAACCAAAAGGTTAAACTCCATCTTAATAATATTGTGCATATGATAGAACCTTTTCGGATTCATGATGTTAATAGTTTGGAGAGAGCACTAATCGCTAATTATTTGTTTAAGTATACGGCTCACTTATAGTAACATTATATTTATCATAACTGAAAAAAAAACTGAAAAATTAAAGTTCGTTTCTTTTGATGACCTAACGTACCTTACAGCAGATTTATTCTGATATTATAATTTTAATATTCGTCACATTTAGGCTACTGTAAAATGATGAGTTCATAAAAGTTGCACTCCAAAAGTGATTTATTTTCGATTGCCTCAATAAAATGTGCAATCTAAAGTGTCGATTTAAACGAGACTTGAGTAAAATTACCATGTTAACTGAAAACATATCGAATACTTTATACTTCATGTTAAAACATGAATAGCCCAAAAGTGTTTGGGTTTTCTCATCTCGAAATCAATCGCATGCTCTTCAATCTCTTCAACAAGTCATTTCTGAGGATTTGTGTTTGTTTTTACTAAAGTATTCTTTAACTTTGACTTTAAAAATTCAACTAAACAATTGAGTCGTATATTTCGAGTACTCGGCGAGTTAAATATACTCATTGATTATATTATAATTAATATTATATAAGGTTTATGCTATTAACCATAAAAGTGTATAAGCATTTAGTTTTTTGGTTACTCGTGAATTGTACGAAACTTAGACTTTCCAATTTTTAAAAATTCAAGTAATAAATTATTACTAAAATTATTATAAAATATTCAAATAATAGTTGTATTTGATTATCACCATGAGTACATACCGGTTATACTTGCAAGTAAATCGAACATGCTAACGATAGTTACATTAATGTACAAATACTTACAATATTTTAATAACGGTAAAAAGAATCAATGATCAATTTCTGTTTGCATATTATAATATTTTGTTTTTGAATCTATTTTCTCAATACATTCATTATCGTTTATCAAATAACTCAAAATTATCCAATTCAATCTTTTGCAGACAAAAATGTTAAATGAAAGTTTAGAAATTTTCTGCTCTAATTATTTCAAATATATAATTTATTGTTATTTTTTCATTGATGCTTGAACATTAGCTATTTTATATTATTTTCCTGATTAATTTATTCAAACAAATATTATTGCTAGTAGTCTTGATAATAAAATTATATCATATTTCTAAGAAATGTTATAATTTATCTATTTAAGTGCTTTATGTTTCTCGCAGTAATGTATTTTACTGTCAAGTGGAATTAGTAACTATATCATTATTTTTCTTTTTATCAAAGTATGCTGCAAAAAAAATTTGATAAATAAAAAAGATACAAAATAAATGGCAATTTAGATCACTTGATAGCTCATTTAAATTTTGCAAATTGTTGACAATTTTAAAAACTATTAAATGAATAACAATTCTTTTATTTTTTTTCTAAAAAATTAATTATCATTTTATTATAATTTTTTATTTATAAAATTTTGCATTGAATGTTAATTTTATACTCTCTCAACAATTGTACATTAAAATCGTCCAACAATACGTTGCCATGATTATTGATGGAAAAAACGCCATAAAAGATAATACTTAATTTAATCAAAATGTTATATTTGTAATATACATGTTTACACCAAAAGATAGTTTTTAAAGAAAAATTTCTTAATAAAACAATAATACCTATATGCTTTAAGCATATATATATATATTAAAAACTCTATAAGGGTTTACGTATAAAGAAATATTCATAAAATTTATCAATTTTCTAAAATAATTCATATAAAGTTAAATTCTGTATTTTAAAAAATAGTTAATTAAATAATATAACTTGAATTTTTTCAAAATAAAATAAAAATACAATTGTAAATATTTAATTAAATATCGATTTAATTCCATAAGATAAATATAATAAAAAGATAAAAAAATAAGTGAACCATTAACAAATACAACAGAAATTGTTTATCTAATTAGACGCAGAAATTGATTTCTAATATTTGTTACAGTATATGCCAAGTATTAGTAATTTGTGTAAATTAAGTAAATTCTCTAACGACTTAATTATCGTTTGCTTAGATTAGATTTATGACACGAGAGAGACAAGGTTAATCGATATTTTATTCTGTTTGGCCAAGGATTTTAAACGGTAGCGACTCCACACGGCCAAAGCACGTGTATCTTACCCGAATGGATTGTGTGTAAACAATGATAGACTTCGAATTATTGTAAATGTCTTTTTATTGACACAACGGAGACGTCTAATTGTTTGTCTGATAAAAAACGAGCACGTAGATAAGAAAGATAAATATATTATTTTATTACTAAAAAAATTAACCCATCATTGACGTACGTTCAATACTGTATTATAATTTATCGGTATTATTTAACTTGTTAACTTTTATAATCTAATTTTTTTTATGTGTATTGAACGGTATTATGAACAGTTATCGCTACAGAAATGAAAAAAACGTCGCAGATTTACCAACAAGGCGAGGTTAACGCCATCACTATGCAAGCACCTATATTAATGATACTACGTCATTAAGTATGTTTTAAGTAATCAATTGAGTCTACTGAATTATTTCAAAAATATAAATAATAACTAATGATTATAGCTGTTCATAATTGAAACTTATAAGAAAGAGCGCAATTTGAGAAAAAGTGTAATGAGAAGAGGTATTTGTAAAAGGCTTCAAAGCTTTTTATGATTCTTCATTATTATCATTGAGCTCATATATGCCTATTATTATGATCAAAATGTAATAAATATAAATAAATCCACAATTATATTATAACAATAAGTATTTCTTTATTTTTCTAGTTATCAATTTATAATAATCCGTAATATACACATTATTAAATTTTAAATTAACATAGTTTAACAACCGTTGTTTTATAGAATATATAAAATATATTATGTACTATATTTACATCTTTAATTACATTAATTATATACACCGTTAAATGGTGCGTATAAAGTATATTAAAAACTAACAATAAATATATAAACAAAAATAATACACATCATGACTAGTCTTTTGTTTCGTTTAACTCTTATTAAAATATTTAATAATAATAATAATATTAATAATTATAATAATAATAATAATATAATAATAATAATAATAATAATAATCATGAACAATGTCGATAAAAAATTATAACTTTTTAAAAGTAACCATTCATTATTTTTTTTTTTTTATATTAATAAAAATTATAATAATTTTTTTTTTATTTACTAAATAAATTTGATTTCTATAATACTCAAGACATTTATTAAATAGAATATTGTTATAAATTAAAAGGTAATCATCTCAAAACGGAAGGATACTATTTTACGAATATCTGAATTATCTAAAAAATGTAAGAGTTTTAAAAGATTTGCTCAAGAATAACTATTTTTGGTACATATCGGATATTTTCTATAGTTTTTTAAGATTATGATTTGATTATCAATGTTTTGTTTACGTACGATAGTAGCGGCTGTTCTTTTTACAAGTAACCCAAAATGCAACTGGATAGAGTATTTACGACAAAGTTCAGAATTTACTCTGGGAAGACACTGGATGACGGATGCTCAGAAACGAAAGAGTTACAGTCGTGGCTACCACCAAGTCCTCGGGGTCTGACTGTGCATTAATGGATGCGAATAAGAAGACATTACCATTTGTTCGGTTTTACTTGGACCATTTGTTTGGCTGTTACATGGCTTCCCATCTCTGACCAGCACTGGTACGGCGACTCGTCTTGGCGACGACAGAGCGTTGGCCGCAGCCGCTGCATGATGATCTACGTGCATGCCTTTCTCTTGTTGGGCTCTTTTCGTCTTATACCTATGATTTTGAAACCAAATTTTCACCTGAAAACGATTGAAATCAAATCAATTACCTCATGTTAATATGATACATAAAAACGATTTTTACACCCCAAAAATAACAGGTAATCGTGTAAAATTATATTTAAGAAAACTATATCACGTAGTCTAGAATTACACCAGGAATATAGAATGTAAACAAATGTACCAAATGGTAATGTATCCCAGATGCTCCCCTTTAAATTCGTTCGCCATCACGGGGAAACTATTGTTCCCACAGTTTTGCATTCGACCTATCCCGATCCAACTAATATGGCCCCCATGTCACTGTTATTATTCACATTCCTACCGAGCCTCGTACTAACCATTATTAACCATCCCGGCCATTCAATCTGTTTTTATTGTTTACCGTCGAACTCTACTTAGCTATGAATCTAAAAGACTGTTGTTATTACAACGTTAATACACAATTACAAGAGTTATTGTAATTTCGATTAGAAAACATGTTTTGGTTTTACCGAATGGAAATTTTACTTATAAAAATGCGGTACGCTATTTCGTTAGTAAAAACTAACCTGAGTTGGAGTAAGCCGGATAATGGATGCTAAATGTTCACGTTCTGGCGCTGACAAGTATCTTTGCTGTCTAAACCGGCGTTCCAGCTCGTACGTTTGAGCTTTGCTAAAAAGTACGCGACGCTTCCGTTTTTTGTGGATTGCGCCGCCGTCTGAAGGGTGACCGGTGCCATCGGAACCTCGACGGTCTGGATCGCCTCCTGCGCCCGGTTCGTCGTCAAAATCATCATCCATAATTTCATCTCCATCCACTTCAGAAGATTCTTGTTTACCGCCTACTCCAGATCCTGGACCTCCAACACTCACCGATGTATCGGCTGCTAGACCACTAGGTGTACTTGAATTATCGGTTAGGTCAGTAACTCCAGGAGATGTACTATCTGGACTAGCTTGTTGAGTACCGTGACTCAATCCAAAACCTGGCAAAAGATAACGTAAAAATGTTGTTTTTATATACAATTAATTTTAAATAAAAGCCGAACGTTTTAACTTAAATATAAATAATTCTTCTCTATTATAAAAAAAAAAAATTAGTTTAGAAAAAATCAATCTTCTATTAAAGTTCTTTATTAAAAACTTAAAGTTCATTTAAACTCATTTACTGTTTTACTATAAGTTATTTAATCGAGGTTGATATAAAAATCTTCGCGCAGTGAAATTTATATAAATAATATTTTACGTCTCAAATTTTCTAATTAAAGGTCTAATAAAAATGTTAATCGTGTAAAATGTATTGGTTACAGATAGTTTGTCAGATAGTGTGTAATAACGGACGACGAAACAGTTTTTCCGTTGTTTTGAATTCCCGTGATATCAAAGGTAAAAAGATGACAACAAATTATCCTTCAAGGTGTTCATCAATGTCATTAGAGTCGTGTCGCAGTGACAAATCGGAAAGTCGTTAAACTGCTATTCGTTTTCCGCTTTGCCGCCTAAGAGACACCATCTGCTAGTTCCATTCTACCGTCATTTTCCTTAAGACGTTAAATATACACAGTAGTTCATTGTACAGATAGTGTTACTCATACAATAAGCAGCAAAATAGGAAAATAAAAAAAAAAAAACAGCAGTGGCAGACGTGCAACCATTTTGTCTCTTTTGTCATTGTCGATAGATTATCCGTGTACCTATTGATGTTAGCTGTTAGTTTTTTAAAAATCTGTCCCCCGACATGCGATTTCCCCGCATGTTCATTTCATATTATTTTTGTACGTTCTCGAAACCCGTGTAATTCATACAATGGTCACCTTTGATCGTCCGTTATGTCACGCCCTTAAGTCGCTTAACTCCACCCCACGTGTACACATAACGCCAATTGTCTCTGTACCACCGAGTTTGCAGATGTTCCAGACGAGTTTTTAAAATATCATACGAAACACATTTGCTACTGTACGACACGAGGAGCTTGTTACACACGTTATTCAAACCATTGTACGCTTTTGTTACACTAAACACATGCACACAAAAGCGATAACACGCAATTTTACAACCGCTATTAGTATTTTGTTAATGGAATTCTTATTACTTTTCTTGTAGTGTGCAACCACAACACACAATGACAAGAAAAACCAAGCTCATCAGACAGCTGGTCGTGTGCGACATCAGCTGACTTACTTGGGCTCACAGGAGTTGTTGCGTTACGATGACGAACCAGCGTGTAGACAAAAGTATTGTCCGATGAAAATTATTTGATTTGACAAAGTCAGCTGCATTAGAGATATTTTTATGTGGCAAATAATCGAGTAAAAAAATCAAGTAGAATGGAATCTTAGTAGTAGCCGACCAACAATCCCTGTCGGTTAAGCGTATTGCTTTGAAAAGAAAAAAATAATTTCGTGTGGAAATTCTAAGTCGCAGTCGTTGAGTTTAGAAAGTTTACATGTTCGTGTATATGGTCTCTTTCCCGAGAGAGTAATTTTTGTCGACGAAACGAACCAACTAAGCTGCTAGTGCAAAATCATTTTGTGTTTGAAAAGAGCGCTTAATAAAATCCAAAAGGAGCCGGGGAAAAGAAACAATGTACTCAGATTTTATACTTCTGTTTTTAATAAAAGTCATTGTTCTGCACTAGGGTATCCTAAACAGCGGAGAAAATCCTCGCTAAATCTGATGCCTATGTATCCCAGGAAGGCGTCCATGTATAATATAATCCACTTAGAGCGGAACGAGCTTTGTGTGAGAGTATAATGTGTACAAGGCGGTGACAGAGGTGGGTAGACTACGTTGGTGGAAGCGTTATTTAATTTGCAACCTTCATTACACTCGCCCTTTTTAGGGTACGATACGTCCTTATAATGGGTTTAAATTTGTTTTTTAATGTCTGACCACCATTATAATAGATCCCGTTTTGTTGGAGCGCGAGCCCCGACATGTATTAAAAATGTGTACATATAAAAATCCTATTGTAATTTTTTCGTCGGTTGACAATCGAACAAGGTTTTAACAAGATCAACATTTCTTTTTTTGTCATCTTATTAAATCGTTGACCTATTACTACGTGCTGTGCGAAACATAATATTAAAGTTGTTAAAAAATCAATGTTAGCATTTTAAACGCGAACTTTTGTCATAGTCTGTTAAATTATCTAAAACAAAGGACTCAGAAATCTTATTAACGGGGTTAAAACTACTATTTGCTTCAGAATAGGTTTTGACGTAAAAAAAAAAAAATTTTACATCTTTTAAATCTTTTAGTTTATAATATATTGAATCAGATTACAAGTTCAATAGAGTGCGATAATTTTATTTTAAATAAGATCTACTGAAAAGTCAACTATTTCTCTGTTGGACGTTTTCGTTCTAAAGCAAAAAAAAATATTGTTTCCACTAAGTTTCACACCCTAAAATTTTATTTACAACATTAAATCGCTATTTACCTCTAAGTTCAGTGAGAGATGTTGGCCAATGGTGCAGTAAATCTGTGGAGGACTGCAGGACATTTGGAAATTGAAATCCGGTGCCGCCCACGTTATGCATATCAGGAGCTAAACAAAAATATTTTTCAATAAGTGCAAGTTACAAATATTAGCTTTATTGTGTTGATAACCGGCTATCTACACATGAAATTATCGGCACTTTTACTCACCACCAATGTGGGATCCTAAATTAGTCGTTGTGTTATCCGAAGAGTTAACTTTACCGTCGTTCAAATCCAAAATGTCACAAATGTGGAAGCCAGACGGACGAGTTTGACTGCTAGGCATCTTTATGCTATCCAAAAGTCTAAAAGACAAATAATAAAATTAATCCAAGACAATATTGAACTCATTATAATTTTAATGTTCACTTGTTAAAAAATATGATTGAATAAAAATAGTGATCATGGGGTAAATTTAATTGGTCTGTCAGGCTTTGTGTTTATTTATTACTGCGTTTTATTACAAATTATCTTGTTATCTTTCATTTTTATTAGATATGCCCTGAGATGGCGCACGTGATTTCATTCGGTTTTCCGGACAACTCATAAAACGAATTATACGCTTTATAGCTGTACGGCATTAATGTATCGAAAGTGATACGTCAAATATACACAGTGGAATTAAGCCCTTACAACTACTGAAAAATCCGATGTCATCGGCGGCAAGCAAATCCTCGGCAATGCTTATCGAGCACGTTCGCTCTGTTGCTTCGACGATCCTGTGCTAAGTGGAAATGACACCTGTTGTAACGATATCGTGTGAGTACACCTACACACTCGAACCTGCTGAGAGCAATAAATAAAAGACAGCGCAATAGACCGAAATCCATCTCGCGGTAATCGTCTCCAGCCTAACAACAACTATTCTCTTCGAAAACGTATTGCCACTTCTAAAGTAAAAAATAAAACGGTAATAATTTCATTATAAAATTCTATAATTGAGTTATATGGTTGGGATGTTACAACATTTTTTGCCCCTTAAACATTAATGTGCCCCAATTGATCTACCTGAAATTATTGTGAATATTTTAATAATAAAGCTAACTGTAACCATCATATTGTTTGTCAAAAAATTATGTAGCATCTCGTGCCAATCGGTATCTATTCGAGTCATCTTACTTAATGTAAGACCAAGTAATGAGTTATATTTTCGCGTTTAAAAGGGTTATACTGAGAAAACAAAGTGAGCGAAAGTATTGGATTTCAATATAATTAAAACCGATAAACTGTTTTATTTGTAAAACCAATTGACTGTTCATTGAATTCTTCTGAAAATACTAAAATATTTCGATTAATATCCTGAAAATTACTATAGTTACTATAGTCGACGAATAAGTTATGCTACTTCTTTTGAAGTGTTTAGTCGGGTAGCCGTTTCTATAGAGAAGGTGCTCGAAATGTGTGGAACTTCGTCCGACAGAAGACAAACACATCGACGGCTCCTCTTAACGGTGGCGACGACATGCGTAAAACCGGACAGCTCCGTGTAGTCGTATATGAATTTAACACACACACGAATGGACTATTATGCTATTATTGTATTTATTTATGAGATGTCTGAGTTTTATTGTCATATACCTACGCCCGAAAGTGGTCAGATCATTACACTAACGTATTCAAAGTCACGTATTTACCGAGAGGCGGCTGCGATTTTAGTTTGTCGGGCGACGGCCGCGAGTTTACCTGAGCAGCGGCTCTTCAAATCGGCTGAGACCAATAAAAATATCTACATGATAGTACGAAATAAAAAAAGATTCTTAATACACTCGGTACATACAAAAACACCGACATGTTCTCGTTACATTATTGAATCTCAGTAATACATGATGTTTTTACTATACAGTCAGTTCTGCGCAAAAACGATGAAATTGCATTTATCGAGCCATTATTTCCCCTCGCTGTTAATTTATGTACTCTTAACTGTTACTTAAACTCTTAAATTTTATTACACACAATTTTTTATTATAATTCCACAGTTGTTGAAATTTTTAAGTTTACCTTTATACACGGTACTATGTAAAAATCTACGTACAAAACGAAGCTCGTTGGCAGCGTAGCCACTTAGTATTATGACTATTGTCTACGAGAGCAATTGTAAAGTTTAATATTTTGACAAAAATGAACGTTTTTATAATTTTGAGCAGTCGAGATGTAGTAACGATAATTATCGTACGATTTCATTAAAGTGCATCAGATATCAATTATGTTTTTAAACAGCTCTACATTTCTTTGACTAACCCTACCCGATAATGAATATGATTTAAACTAACCCTGGAAAAGCTGACCTCAAGGCGGCAGGGTTGCACCATGCAGCCGGCAATAATGAACACCAAGGCGGCATTATGGTCGGGCACCAGGCCAGCAACGACGGCGGTATCCTCGGGTGGTGATGATGAAATTGCGTTTCCATCGGTTTTGGGCTTTCGCTGTCTGACATCGTGTAGAGTCCGCAAATTAACTTGAACCCACAAACGTTATTTTATTTACTTTTGAATTTCGGGCGTCGATCACACGGGTTAAAATCCCATGTAGATCATCGAATGAAATCAAACGAAATTCAAAAAAACACTTTGAGCCGGACACGATATTCCAACCGTCGGAAAATGTCTTAAGTGATGCTCTGAAATATCTCGGTTTGTCCACTTGGTTTGTGTGTACGCGAAAATATCACTCGGACAACGCGACCCGCGGGCACTCGATGAGTCGTCGACGAGCCACTTGAACGTATCAACTGCGCGACCCCATGAGCACCGCTCCGGTCTGGAGGGCGAAATTTCCAGCGAGGGGAGGAGCCCAGCTACCGATTGGCCAAAGACCTGAAAGACCGGAGGCGTGTCTTGCAAGGGTGTGAGCGACTCTCCAGGTTGTCCTTCGTCTCTCGCGGATACAATATTGTACTGTGCGCCCCCACAAATGTTAGTGCGCAGGAGATCGATTGTCGTCGCCGCGTTTTGGTACCGATCAGCAGAGAGACCGTACAAGTTATTATGTCCTACTGAATTTCTATCGATCCGATACAATCAGATTATCTTCCACTTTATCGGTGTACCAATTAACTACATGCGAGGAACACTACACATAAAAACATGTCTCAATAAAACCAATCATGGTGTACTTAGTATTAATGGTTGATTTATCATAAAAGTTCAAAACGGTTCCTAGTTACTCGCAAGTATCTTGTACTTAATACAATTTGGTTATTGAACACAAGAAAAGTGCTTTGTATTATTATTAAGTCAATTTCAACACACAACACCTCAAAACGGGATAATCTAACTGTCGACACAGACAAATTAATTCTCTTTTTATTTATTTCTTTAGCATTTGTTGTGTTATAATTTATAAAAGTTTTGGTTTCAGGTGGATAGTGTTGGATTCAATTGGTAGGTCATTGATAATCTAACCAGAATTCCTTTATTGCACCGTTAATAACTAGGTATTTATGTTTTCACTAAGATACCCATATTTTGATAAAAGATGGATACTCGTTTTATTTACCCAATGAAGTGTACGTGAGAATTATGAATATCTGTTATTTGTTTATAATAAACACTTGACAAGCCGTTTTCCAATATCGTAAAACAGGTTCGAAAAGTACAATTTAATCGTTAAATACTAATAGATACGATAGGAAAGACGAGCTTTAAACGCAGAATTGGTAAAAAAAACAGAAGCGAACAAAAATAAAACGATGAACTCGACATTCAGAGGTAACACATTTATCGGAATTTTAATTATACTATCATTATATTTAAATATTTGCTAACCCTATAATTTGTTATCTAACTTAAAGTTTTTTAATATTTTTGTAATTTGCACTATGCCGTATTCATTGTGGAGCACTTGAAATCCTAATGTAAATAGAATACAAAACGATAATGATATATCAATCTTGTAAATATCAAATTAAAATTATTGTTTACGTTAAAGCATAAAAAAAAATTAGAATAGGTAGATAACATCTCATTAATACAAATAGACATTAATAAAAAATTATCATCAGCAATGATTATATTTTTACAGAAGTGTCAATTTATTTATCAAATTCGCATAATATTTATGAATAAAATTTCAAACACTTAGTCATATTTTAATATTTAAGTGTTAAAATATGTGCCTAGACTTATGTCCCAACAAAACAGATATTTTCAATGGTATATCGACATTATAGAATTAAATGTATTTTTCAAATACACATCGTATACATTAAAAAAGTTCCAGTTTTTATGTATAATATCTGTACCTATAAAGTTCGTTAATTTTTATGACCACAAAAACTTTTATACAACCAAAATTTATATGGTTAATAATAATTGTCTACTAGACGCAGTATTTATTTTTCTTGATTACACAAGAATAATTTACATAAATCTATAACGTGTGTTAGTGAACACGTTATTAAGTTCAATAGTATATTACAAAACTGATGAAGCACTTCTCTCATGAGCACCTAACAAGTGTCATTAGCATCGTTATTGTGAACAAATTTTTTGCCCCATACTGACATACATAATCAACGAAATAAGTCCTCAAATTAACTAGGAAATTGCCCAAAGCTTAAGTGTACTTGGATTCTAAGGTATTTTTCAAGACGTGATGCGATACACATATTCAAAATTATGTTCATAAAATACTTGACTGGTATGTCACGTCAACAGCTCTTTGACAAAGTGTCTTTGTAAAACAATCGCATGCAAATTCACCAAGTACATGAATATTATTACTTTATAATAGCGGGGAAATAGTATTGCAATCATATATGTTTTGTATATTACTGTTGCATGTCGAATTAGTCACAAAAAAAATCCTGTTCGAGGACTCGGCGATATCGTCAACAAGGTTTTTTCGAACGAGACACAAAAATGCATTTCTTTACCAAAATAACGTATAAACACTAGACACGAGTACGACAGTTACAATTGTTTTTGGGTGTTCGTGTGAACCAAACATACACGTTCTAAGAGCAGTATTATGATTGTTTTAGTTTTGTTCAACAACCTCTCAAACTAATATTGCACTATTATGTTAAATTGCAATTCTCTCCTTGTGACTTATATCGATTTGAAAATTACCAGTTTCTATTTAAGACGTCATTTAATTTACAAAAAATTGTTCTAATTTGCTCGGTGTAATTGCATCTGACACGCAGCATTGGCAAACTATTAGATTTTTATTCTATTTTACGCAATATAAGTAAATTAAATGAATACTATCTGTGCAAGTTTATTCTTAACACAGTAATGAAATAAAAAATAATTATGTGTTGGCAAAATCCTAAAAGTCATTAGTCATTGTAACATTTGTGTCGGATTTACAATACAGATTTATATGCTCTAATTACACTGGTAATAGTATCCTACTGGAAAACGTATTGAATGGATATAAATTGGTATACGGACGGCGATCGATGTATCTCACCGCCATAAAAACGGTCACGTGCCCAACACTAGGCCAGTTTTGAATGTAACCGTTTCATACTCACATAAAAATTTTTAATATAAGCGATGACAAAAAATATTCAATTAGTATAAAAGCATTAGATAAATCACCAGAACTGTTGATATATTTTAAAAACATTTAAGGTCTATAACTATATTTGCAGTATATTAATAATAACAGAATGGTTAATTTATCATTGAATACTACATTTCTCCTTAAATAATAATAATCATGTCAAGAAAACAAATCTAGCCTTGTTTAGTAGTATTTATTTTTCGATTTAAATATTTAAATATTGATTAAATATTTTTTCAAATCTATCCCTTATGCTTTGTAAGGGTACCACTTTATCTTTTTAAATTGTGACATACATTGTTGAAAAATTTTATGTTAGAAAATGATCCAATTAAAAAAGAAGGTCTATAACAACTTTTTAATCAGTATTTCAGAAGTTATTAACATATTTATTTTCTGATGATAAAAGGAGTTCGGCAGAATATTGTTGGATGGTGATAAAAATTACCTAACCCGTACCTCGTTAAAATATGCACAAAATTATTATAGTGTTATTAACTTACAAAATACTTACTCAAAAGTTGGTATAATTTTTTTAGTTGAGTAATGTTTTATTGTATAAGAGAATTAAATCTGTATATTTTATAATATCTTTGACTTAATACTAGCTATAATCATTTTTGACATACCGTTGAAAAAATTAGTCAAGTGAGAGCTAAGAAAGATAAATGAGAGACACAAAAAAAAGCCTACATAGTAATATATAAATAAGAAATTCCTTCTCACAGGGAGAGACTGCAGTAATGAAGTCCTTAATATTCATTGAAGTTACTCAATGTCAATGAGATTAAAATCAAACGATTTTAAAAGAAATTTTCCACCTCAAAATGATTTTAGAAAAAAAAATGCCAAAAAAGTCATATCTAGGGGTAGGTTCGGAATTCGTACTTTGAGCGTGTAAAACTGTATACAACCAACATGACCACTACTATACATAATAGAAATTGATAGCTAAATATGACAATTTAAGTTTGTTCAAAAATTCAAAGTCATTTTTCTTAATCTAGAGAAAAAGTATTCAAAATAAGTTAAAATTTATATTCAATGTAAGATAGATTCATATAACTTTAATAAAAATCGGTGACCTCATTACTATGGCAAACCTTAATAAGGTATTTTAAAACAAACAAAAAATAGAAGTTAAGTCATCGGAACAAATTTTTTTTTAACTTATAGGGCGTAACATAAGCTTTAATTTAACGTATGTTTAAAAGACTCAGTATTTCCGGAATATTTTCAAAACTTAAGTTGAAAAATTGAAATTTTTGTGCAAAAGTTCTATTTGGATTTCTCCCATGTGGGCAAGTTAAAAATAAAATTCAAACAAAAATGTATATCAAATGAAAGGAAAATATTTAGCTATTTTATAAAAAAAATTATTTTGATTCGTTTATTTTTAAAAAAGTTATGACAGTTTTACAAAAAAAAAGAAGTGATGAAATTTTCTGATTTTAAAAATTGCATTTTGGAGATTTTCACCATTCACGGGAAACAAGGGAAAATATTTCAATTTTTTAGAGTAATGTCTTCAACTAGATATAATTTTTGTCTTCTGACGTATTGTTGAGAAAAATCAATCTAGTGAGAACTGAGAAAAAGAAGTAACAGACACAAAAAATAAATAAACATATCATGATAAAATAAATACCTTCTTAGTTTCACATCGAAGCTAAAAATTAAACCATAATATTACCCGATTATAAATTTTTTCGTGAATGACTATATTGTATAGAATATAAATTACAATTCTATATTAATTCGTATTTATATTTTGTTAAAATAGAGTATATTTTTTAAATTAAAAGTTAAAGTCTTTTAAAGCATAATTTGCGGGTCGCCGAGTATATATTTGCGTACCTAAAATACTGTGTTATTGATTTGTTATGCTCCATAAATTAGACATAGATATCAAGAGTCTCAGTAGGAAAGCAAATAAATTAATCCATTTTTTACAGGCAACGAACCAGAAAAAGTTCCGGACTCGATTTTTGGAAAAATCCTAAAATGGATTTTAGAACCATACACAACATATTTGGACCTGTAAAAATAGCAATGACTGCTAATGATATTAGGTTTAATATGTTGGGAAATATTTTAAAACACGTTTCAAAAATAAGTTTAAAACATAAGTAAACTATTTAAAGTGCTTGAATTGTTCTATATGAAAAATGTAAATTTTGTAATATTTGAAGTATAAAACCTTGTTGAAAAACAATCAAATTCCAAAAAAGCTGATTATGAACAATTAACTATTATAATACCATCTGCTTTGTTGAGTATTTCAGACTCACAAATAAATTAGATATAATC